CCACCCAGTGAGACGCCTCTTCCACACTCAAGCCGAGAAGGACACGTTGAGGGCAGCACTGGTCTTAAGCTGTAGGCAGAGCCTTGGTTTCTGTTTTGTTAGGAAATACTGGCACATGTCTGCTCCAGCAGACCCATGTTCCCATCTGGCCAGTGTCTTCGATACAAACAAAACGTGCATTTGCCAATGGGTAGAATCAGTCAGGAGGTACCCACATCAAAACACACAGAACTCATCCTGGGCTTCAGTGCAGCTGGCTTTGGGAAGTGGGCACCTCTGCTCGTCTCAGGATGGGTAACCAGTAGGGTGGGGTGGGCTGCGGATGCTTATCCACAGGAAGATGCCCTGAGAAACTCCTTCCTAAAGTAGCGACAGCTGAGGGCAGTTCTTTGTTCAGCTCGAAACAGGCCCTGTTGACTTCTCCTGAGCCTCCAGACGAATACGTCTATTTTTCTGTTATTGTGTGTTTTAAACATTAGCTCTTCACCAAAACAAAAACAATAAGCCTGGAATAACAATGGGAAGAGGGCCAAGTCTGCTCAGAGACTCCTTCATTCTTGTTCTCTCTCCATTTGAGACGTGGTCACACCCTAGCGACCAGATTTCACTGGCTGCAGGAGGAAAGTGAGAGCGGTTGGAGAATGAGGGGCCAGAAGGCTGGGGCAGCTGGAACAGGGTGCTGGCTGGGGGGCCGGAAGGGGGGCTGCCTGGGAACCGAGGACGCAGAGGTGGCCCAGCTGTGATCATCTGAGCTCCCCTAACATACATCTCCCACCCCCAAGGCATTGGAACGTCTAGTGAGGGAAATTGCCAGCATCCAAGCATTTTCTGGTGAAGCCCCAACAAAGACCACTCTTCACACACAAACCAACCTGATTCTTCTGACAGACTTGATCAGAAACCAGTACTCTGGTGTGCTGAAGCCTGCGCCTTGAAGCAGAGCCTCATCAGAACCCCCACTGTGGAATTCCTGGGCTGGTCTCAGCTAGTTGCTTGGGTGAAGATAGAACTAATTAGCTCATTTGAGAGGACAAACCAATTCAAAGGCCTTCCTGAAGGTTTACTGATGCATATGCTAATTACATGAATTCTGCCTTAACTCCTCATTCAAAGGGAGGAGCTCCGCCCACCCACTCTTCCTTACTGCTGGCACTGGAAAGACCGTAAATGCCTTTCCTTGAAAAAGAAGTCTATAAATCATTCAGTTTTGCTTATTTTAGATGTCTTTGCCCACATTTGTCCAAATGAGTGAGGCTTCACCACTTGTTGGCTTTTTCTCTGCAGAGCGATTCTTAGGTCTTTGCTGGAGGGATCTCTTCGGCTGGGCTCCAGCCTCCTGCCCCTTTCTGACTGAACCTGAATTCCGGAAACCCGGACTCACTGTCTTTCCTGTGGAAACGAGAAACCAAATACCCACTTTGGAACTCTCTCCCTATAGATGCCTGTTGCTCGTGTCGAATCTCCTCCACATCCTTTTCCATGTTCTGGTGTTTAGGTAAAATTTCTATTGGTACAATATTCCCCACCATCGTCTTTAATGGGTCATTGTGTCTTATGTGGCTTCAAAGACCCAACAGAAGACAGTGCTGCCATATTGGATGTTCCTGTCCCGTCCGCTCTCCTCCGTGGGTATCTTACGTGGCTCTTGTAAAGTTAGTGAGTACGTGGTTCCCTCGGCCCCCACACTTTAAGAAGACACCACAATGCTACCTGGATTTACAGTTTCAAAGACGCTGTGAGGCGAGTCCAATAACTCCCTCAAACGTCTGTGAACGCAGAGGGTCTAACCAGAGGCGACCTGGGCCAGACCCTGAGACATTTAACAATGTCCAGAGACATTTGTGGTTGTCCCAGCTTGGGGAGAGGGGTGATAGTGGCCTCTGGAGCGCAGAGGACTCTGCGACACCCCCTGTAATACATAAGGCAGTCCCAACGACCCACCGCCACGGTGCCCACACTGCAGAGCCTGCGGGAGAGGAATTCCTGTCCTTTTTTCTTTTCCCTCAAGGCCTGAGAAAAAAGGAAAACGAAAGAAAATGCTGCATTTTGATGAGTACATGTACCCTGGAATCTAACATCCCATATGGATCCAGGAATTGGAGAGCACAGGGGTACCACTGAGCAGGGCAAAGGGCAAGGTCGAGGCAGGCCTTCTCGGCACCAACAGCTGTCTCGACTCCAAGGAGAGACAACTTCGACCAAAGCAGAGGACCAAAAAGTTACAAGGATGTTTAGTTTGTGATAAAAATCATTTTGCAGATTAAAGTGCTTCCTCCTGCCCATAAAATGGTATGTTCTTTAAATAACTCAGAAATAGGAGGCGTTTAACTGCGTTGTGAGCAGAGGCAGGACTGCTGCTCAGGGCCACGGTCAATTAATCCCGTCCCGGTGATGGAGCCGGCCGGTAGGCGTACCCGGCTGTAGGCGGTGGCGCCCTTCCTGTGTCCCGTGTGCCATTCAGCTACCCCACGTTCCAAATGCCGCTACCGTCCAACGAAGGGATTCGGGGAGGTTCCTGGAACATCTCTCTGCACCTCCTGGCTCCATTCTCTCTCTCTCGTTCGGTGGTAACAAGACAGCGACTCAGCGAGCAGCTCTAACCCCTTCTCACACACAAGCCCCCAGGAGAGGGAGACTTTCCCAGGAGCCTCAGCAACGTCACGGTGTCTCGGGCTGGCACCGACTGGGTCAGGTGCACGTCCCTGAAGCAGAGCTGTGGCCGGCGGAGTGCTGGGAGCTCCCTGGCCGAGGCCTCGGTGACAGCAAGCCCTGAGCCTCCTGCGACCCATGCCTCATGAAAGAGGGGCAGGGTGCTGCCTTAAAGGAAAATTAGGGTAAGATCGTCAAAGCAGGAGGAACGGATGCCCAGGAGAACGAAGCACACGCCGCACAGACACACACCCCACACTACCTCCTGTTCAGAAGCTGTGGGTTCTGCAGTGGAAGATGCTGGTCCTCGCCCTGGCTTTGTCCTCGGGCCCTGGCTTTGCCGTTAACTGGTTGCATAACCTGAGATAACGCCACAACTGTGTCCCTGCCTCCTTTGTGTAATTGGCATCATGGACGAAGTAATACCATTAGGGTGGTTATGACCAGCAAACAGGTATCTTAGGATATTGGAAGCACTGAACACACAAGGAGTTAGTTTCGATGCCGATGAATTCAATTTGGCGTCTAGAATCCAGAGGACTCTAGGCCAGCCACCACCCACCCAGTAGTCCACGGCGTGTGGCTTTGGAAGCCAGGGTCTAAATTTATCGCAGTCCTCACTGTTACAGGTCAGTGTGGGAAATCTTCTGAGGTCAATGAGGTAATTGGCTTGCTGTGGATCTTGAAAAAGTCTCTCTGTTAAATGACATAATTGGTTTTAATTATATAATTATGGCACTTAAAGTGTGGGGGTGAAAGGTTACTATTATATTTAGAAGTGAGATCCCCAAATGAAGCCAGGGTGTTTAAGTCAGTCTTTCTTCGAGGTTTTCTTTTTCTTTTTCTTTTTTTTCAGAGGGAAGTCAGAATAGGCTGGCCTTGGCCCTGGCCATTTTGGGATGATTATCCTGCATGAGGTAGTGCTGGGACTGCTCACAGCATCACAGGGACCTTTGTGAAGAGACAGGAAAGGGCTTCCGTAAAGACCTCGTTGTGATCTGAAGTTAATGAGCAGTGGGAACTCAACTGTCAGCAATTGAATCTGATTGGGCAGGGTAATTATGTGATTGCCTCTGGTGTTTGCACATGCATGGGGATATTTTTATTGGAAAAAACCTAATTGCTTACTTACTTAGTGGAGGGAAAACCTAAACACATTTGTGTTGTCATAGGTTAAAAAGACATCCTTTCTTTGTGTCTAGCAGAGCTGCTGCCCGCTTCTCAGAAGTGCGGGTTTTGTTTCTCTCCCCGTTCCGTCAGAGATGCGTGTGCGGGACTTGAACTGTATGATAATAGGGACATGGAGAAGGAAGCTACTTTGAACTGTGCCTTTTGGTATAATGACCACATCCCCTCAATGGGCTCTTTCATGATGCCCGGCGGCTGCAACCCTGGGCAGCACTCGAACTTCTGGGACTTGCACAGGTCTTTCTGTTTATTTTGTTTTGTCTTCCCCCTGACAAGACCGGCTTCATAAGCCACGTGGTTTCCCCTCGTCGCATCAGGCAGGTGGGAGGTGCCGTGTGTGGTAGCCTTTTAGGCGTCAAAAACACCAAGGAGGAGAGAAGCAAAGTGCCCCTCTGCGGTTTCCCAGGGACGGAGGACGGGGACGGGCAAAGGGAGAAGCCGGGGTCTCGTGTCGGCGTCTTACCTGCCCGTGTGCTGGCCCAGAAACAGGCGGCTGCGGTCAGCTCCAGTGCATGACGCTCCACTCCGCATCATTGGCTGTTTTTCTCTCTGCTTATAGAACAAACTGTTTTCTAAGTTCTTTCCTCTCCTGAGAGCCAACCCAAGGAGGTCGAGGCATGGCTGGATTATGGGGACCGGAGGAGCACCCTGTGACGAGAGCGCAGCATCCAGATCTGGCGCCCCGGGTGGGTGAAGGGTCAGGGGCTGAGAACAGAGGGCTTTCTGCCCTCACTCCAGCTGTGCTTTCTCATCTCAGAATCTTGCACATTCTCTGACTCTCGTACGCACCCCAATCTTGTCTGGCTAACTCGGGTCCTCCAGGTTCACTGTTAAATGTCACTTCTTCCTGGAAGCCTTCCCTGACCACCGAACACCAGTCTGGGTTGGCTGCCCTTGCTTTGTGATCCATGGTGTCCTCCAAGTTCCTTTACCTGTTGTCCTTTAATTGCTCGTCTCCTTGTTCAAAACAGCCCGTGGGCTTCGTGAGGGCCGGGCCTGTGTCTGTATTTGTCACTACCACATCCCCGGAGCCTGATGCGTGTGCTGGAATGACTGAGTCAGGAAGGCGTGGTTGCTGGGTGCCGCAGGGAATCGCGGGGTGGGCTTCCCTACCCTTGCTGTTAATACCGCTCTCTTGTTGCTTATAATTTTCATTGCCCCAGATGATCCAGCTCTGTTGGAGGCACGGAGGCACAGTCAAATCTCATGCTGTACATTGATCACCTGTCCAACCTTTGCCTAGAGTGGGAGCCCCCAGTTCCTTCAAGAGATCCAACTTTACCTGTCTGTACAGAAGAAGAGGAGGAGGGAGACGGCGGGAGGATCCAGTGGCAGTGTAACGCCAGAGCAGGTCCAGTGTTTACTTTTACCCTTTTGGAGGTGGGTAACTGCCAATGCCCTGGGGAGCGGGCTTCCCGAGAGAATCTGCCTGTGGCCTTGGATTTGGGGGCGCACAAGTACTGTAGTTTTTCCTAGAGTGCAGGGATTGCTGCTTTAGTATTTAATTCGTAGTCAGGCCGTTCCATGATTCCCACCAGCATGGACCAAGAATCCAAGTTCATCATCTGCATGAAGTAAATTGTCACATTGGCCTCGTATTGTTTGTGTCTTGCTTTGTGGACAGAGAGGACAGTTCATTCATTGGTTCCTGTTCCATGACTATTATATTTGTTATTTGCTCTTTAACATCTGTGATTTTCAATAGCCTTTCTTGTTTTGATTTTCTGGCATTTTACGTTTTGAATCCCCCCTCCCTGGTCAACCTCTTAGACCATGAGATCCTGAAAAACTGAATAGATAAGATGTCATTTAGAACCTTCCCCGTGGTGTTTAATCATCGCCTACACTGAACCTGTGGCCATGCAGGCCTCAGGCAAGAGGCTTCCTAAGGAACCCCCAAACCTCCAGCTGTCCCTGAGTCTGGACTGCCCGCTGTTGGTTAGGCCACAGTCGTCATTTCTGGGAGGGCAGACATTTGCGCATGACATCCACAGCCTGTGGTGGCAGGGCACAGAAAGCGCTCGGCGTCCCGGGCTTCTTGCAGAGAGGTCTCTCCTTGGTCTGAAGCATATTCTTCCTCTGTTGGTTCTGAGTCTCTGTTTACCTTACACCCATCAGTTACATTTCTGCTTCGGCATAATCAACACCTAAATTGGAGTCTTTGGGGGGTTCCTTCAAGAGAGTTTGAACAACTTCTTTATTTTTCTATGTCATTTATTTATTTTTATTTTTCAATCACAGTTTGCTTTCAATATCATTTTGGATTGATTTAAGGTGTACAGCAAATTGGTTAGACAATCATCTTTGCAAAGTGTCCCCCGATATTTCTAGTACCCACCCAGGACCCTACAGAGTTATCGCAATATTATGGGACAGCTGGTCTTGAAGCGGGTGTGTTCACCAACGCTGTGCACTGTGACCCAAACGGGATGGGCCATGGTGAGCTTCGCCATGAATTCCAGGCAAAGTTGCATTTGATTCTCAGTCTGGAACAGCACAGGGGATGCCTCACAGCCTTCCTGGACCAAGGCAGGTGATTTACTGCCTACACGAATCACATACTGAGGCCAAACAAAGAGATATCCTCACATGACCTTCGACTTACCGTTAAAGCTGGTGCTGCGGTGAGCGCCGGTCTCGCGTGGTCACAATGTTTCCTCTCGGAGCACTTCTGCGCAGGCGCAGTCCTTCTGCGCAGGCGCAGTCCTCGTGTGTGGTGAAGGGGCTCCTTCAGGAAAGGGAGAGGGAGATCAGGATCAAGGTTGCCATCTGACGTCAAGCTCAGACCACTGCTTCTTCCTGTTGTTTTGTTTGAGAAAGCATTTTCACGTCCCTTTGCTGACTGATGTATTCAGCAGACAGATTTGAACACTGGCTCTAAGTGCCCTGCCTGGACCAGCAACCTGCTTCTCAGCATCACCTGGGACCTTGTTAAAAACGCAAGTTCTCAGGCCCCACCCAGACCGTCTGAATCAGAAACTGCAGCTGGGGTCCAGCCCACTGGGTTCGAACGAGCTCCACACAACAGCCTGAGACCTGTGGGTGTAAAGCTTCTGCGGTGCGCGGGGTGACGGCAGACACAGCAGTGCCCCTCCGCCCCACCATCCAGGAGCTCGTGGTCCAATCGTGGGCGCGCAGCAGAAACCCCTCGCTTAGGCAGAGCGATGTTTATTACATGTGAATTACTTCATCCACTCACTTCCTAAGTCCCTCCAGGCAGTTCCCTTTGGAATAAATATAAATGCTTGGTTTAGGCTTACAAGGCCTGGCATGCTCTGCCCCCCGCCTACCTGCCCAGCCTCAGGTGGTGCTATTCCCCCCGCCCCTGGCACTGCCCCTCCACACTGGCCTTCTTTCTGATCCCCAAACACCCCCACTGACTGTGGTGTTGGCAGGAATCTATGTCAAGGAAGGGGAAACGAGAGAGAATTACAAAGGTTAAACAATAGGTCACTGAAGTATTTTTTCATACGGCACAATATTTCTAAACCAATGTCTCTGTTGGTTAACATATTGATATATTGATACTTATATATGCTGTAATCACATATTAATGTCACATCGACGTTAGTGGCCTCGTCTTACGGTGTAGCCGTCTGAGAGGACTTGCCCAAGCATTAAGGAACTATGAAAGGTGGTTCAGTGTAATCTTAGCATCATGTCACTGTATCGATTTCCCCCTGAGAGTTGGTCCTGCAGGCTCAGAGCGCAGCCACACGCTGTAACTGAGCACGCGTGGCTGGAGATGTGAGACGCTGGGGGTGAGGTGGCCCCGTGGCGCCCGGGGCTCCACGAGCTGAAGCATGATTCGTGCTGTCTTCACGTGCTTTAAGAGGGACGGTCCCCGGGCGCGTTAGGTGTGAGCGGAGCCAGTTCCAGTCTCTGGGATAGCAAATGTGCCATGTGATTTGGGAGCAAAGCAGCTGTTCGGGTTTTTATTAAATGTGGGAAAAATGGTCCCCCGGATTCTCTGCACAATAAGAAAGGGGAAGCGCATATTTTAAATATGATTTGTTAGAAAAACACAACTTGACATAGAGGTGAAGGGTTCCTGCAGATGTAGGGCCAGCAGAGCCAAGAGCAGGGCGAGGGCTCGGGTTTGGGTTTGGGTCTGGATGTGTTTGGACCGTCCCAGCTCTTTCACAGTAACTGGCACTGTTCACGCGCCCCATGCGCAGGCTGGGGCCTTGTGTGCCGTTTGGGCGGCCTCTCCCTTGAGATCTGCAGCGGAGCAGGGAAGGTCGGTGTGAGAGCCGTCAGGAGGTGGGCGCCGAGGGAACGCTGGCCCAGCCTCTCGGCTTCACCTGCCTTGTCCAGTTCTTCTGGGAACCCAGAGGCTCCTCAGCGGAAAGCCCTTCCTATTGCAAGGGGAAGCTAGTCGCCCTGGGGGGCTGTGATCACGGCAGGGTGCCCTGTGCCCGCCCTTGGGGAGCCCACAGCCAGAGACTTCAGCAACGGCCACAAAGTAGTTTTCACACGTGAAGGATGGAGCGCTGGGAGAGGAGGAAGAGGGAATCCGGCCTGGCTGGGGCTGGCGGGCTGCCATGTGGACTCAGGCTGGGAACTGGAGGACGACCAGGTGTCCGTTTGGGTGTCTAGGTTGGTAGCGTAGTGGGGGGTAATAGAGAGCATTTCCGGGGAGGGGAGCAGGCACCACCCCCCTTACCAGCTAGACTCTGCCCATAGAAGCTGCCGTAGCAGAAAGTCTGGAGTGAAAAGACCCAGAGTCTCCCTGCAGAATGAACCCCCAGGGGAGGGTCCTTCCCTACAGAGACTGGAGTTCCCTAACCTCTGAGGCACCCTGCCCAAGGGCATGCGTTTCTCTTCCTTCTGTCGGTTCCTCTGAGGTCCCTCCTTTGGGGGCAGCCTCTGCTGGTCTCCCTCTTGAGAGCAAAGCTTACTGTGGGGACACTTACTATTTCCTGGGGGATCCTTGCATGGATTTTTAGCAAGGCATTTAGCATCTTCGGAGACTCTTGCTGGATTTGGCCAGCAGCTCTGAGGAGGGAGGAATTAACTGCCTCTACCCATTGCCTTCTTGCCCCGGAGTCATCACTGTGCATGTCGCATCGGTCCTAGCCAGGGCACAGTTTGAGGGCAGGTCTCTGTCTGTTCATGGTGCCTGGCACGCCGACTTTGCACAAACCTGGCACTCAGAAACGGTTGACAAATGAAAGAAGAGATTCTGCAAACCGAAATGCCCTTGCAATGCAGAGGCTTGATTTCAGGAGTGTGAAATAAAACCCTTCCCTGATTCATTTATTTATCCATCTACCCGTGCAAAGACAGTTCTTGAGGACTTACTTTCTAACTGTGTAGCCGAAACACCATGCCTGATGCACCTGAGTTCAAATCGATCGTGGTTAGCAGAGGAAGTACAAAACCAGCTCTGGCTTCTGACTCCCTTCGGGCAGCTGTCCTACTGAGTTCTGCAGGAGCCCAGCTGTCCCTCCCCTTCCTGTCATTCAGAAATGACAGTCCAGGGTGCCAGGCTCTGAGTGTCTGCTTCTCTTCAGAAAGGCACAACTCTCCCATAGGAGGGAGCTCGGCGTGCGCTCTGACATTGCGGAGTGCCCAAGGACTGCCCCTGCTCCCTGGCTGTCTGCACAAAGCCTGGGTGGTCCCGGCTACAGGTGGCAGTTGAACTTCAGGGTGTTCTGACTGAATTTTAAAAAAATGAATGAATTAATGATGATAGTCATTTGAAGCATCTAGGTTTCTACTTGCTATATCTGAGAAGATAGGATTTCTTCGATGAAAGCAAAGGAACCATTTTTGCAGACCTGAACATTTCAGCCTGTGATGCAAAACAGAACCGACAAGCCAGTTGTGCCCAGGTCCCAGCTCCGCTGGCCCACACAGGGTCCTCAACACCTGCAAATGTCACATTAAATCTAGGTTTCTGGATTTGGGAGAGCAGTGAGGTGATCCAGCTACGCAAGGCCATGTTCCCAGAGAGTCCCACAGCAATCTCCTTTGTCCCAGCCTGCCCGCTCCAGGTGACTGGTCACTGATGTCTTCTGTGCTTACGCCAGGCTCGTGTCCCTCAGTCACGGTACCTCCCAGGCTCCTGCCAGCACAGCGTGCAGCCCTGGCTTGCAGAGGAGGCCTGGCGCTGGGCTCGCTGGGCTCGCTGGGCTCGCTGGGCTCGCTGGGCTCAGCAGCAGCATGAGTGTGGTCTGGGTTGGCCTCTCCGGTCACCTGTCCAGAGGCCACATGGCAGGGTCCATGTCAGTGGATCATCAACCAACCCAAGCTTCTCATGCGGACCAGGCCCCACTCAGGGGGTCTGAGTCAGTTGCTGTGGGGTGAGCCACAGGCACTTTGCAAAGCTTCCGTGTGGTCTGTGCC